TCCCCGGGCGGCCTCGTGCCGCCGTGTTTGTTTATTTGACACAGCGGGAGGCATCGATTCCCCGGGGGGGCCGGGGGAGGCGCCGCCGCAGCCGGATTAGTCTCCAGCATCTTCCCAGCCCTTCTTAATAGACAGAAAAACTGATGTGAGGGATTAGGATTGTTGGGCATGTGCCGCACGTGCCGGTGGGCACCTGGCTCGTGGGAACTTGGTGGTCTCTTTGTGAGGGTCTGTGCCCACCCAGGGCCCTGGGGGTCCCTGCTGGTTGCCAGGGCTCGGAGGGCAGGGTGCTGGGTAGCAGGGTCCTGTGTCACCAGCTCCTGATGAGCGTGGGGACATGGGAGGGACAGAGTTGTGACATGGTCACTGGAGATAAGCTGCTTAGAGACATCTGTGGAGGTGGAAGTTCTAATTGTGTGATGCTTGACGGGCACGGGTGGCAACATCTGAGCACAGGTGACAACATCTGGACACCTGCCTTCCCGTGGTGCCCTGAGCATTCTGTATCCCCCAAGGGCCAAGAGCATCCCGTGGTACCTAGAGGACCAGGCAGAACCAAGGACAGCACCCAATGCCCCAGCACTGACCTCCTGTTGAAGCCTTGCAGTGGGGTCTGGCTTCACTCAGCAGCCTCAACAGGCACCCTTGTGCCTCCCAGCACCCTGTGGACAGGGAGGTGTCTCTGCCTCAGCCTTTGCTGCGTGGGGAGACCATGGCAGCATAGGGCCCTGGGCATTGATCTGCTGTTAAAGCCTAAAAGAGGTTTTGGCGCCCTTCAGTATAAACTCGTTAACTTTTATGTTCTAATAAATGGATCCCATTAAAAAATAATCCTGGTCTTGCCAGGGGGCAAGTGAACCTTTCAGAGAGACAGTGAGGCTGGGTGCTTGCCTCCTTGCCATGCCCATGGGGCATTGTCCCCATCCTGGGGTGGTGGGAACAGGGGGTAGGTGACAGGGTGGTGGGGATCCCTGCCAGCACCCATCGGCTCCCCCCGCACTGCTCGCCCAAGCTAATGTCTCTTAATAGTCCCTTAAAAGTGGCAGTTGCAGAGTAATTAATCTGGGGGTAGGTGACAGGGTGGTGGGGATCCCTGCCAGCACCCATCGGCTCCCCCCGCACTGCTCGCCCAAGCTAATGTCTCTTAATAGTCCCTTAAAAGTGGCAGTTGCAGAGTAATTAATCTTCCCAGGGCCCTGCCCTGCTACGGATCAGTATAATTACCTGGTAATTGGCAGTGTTGTGTCATCAGCGCCTGTGCAGGCAGCGAGACGTGCCTCTGTGCTCCCGCGGCCCGCAGGGGGATGCTGGGTGACATCTTTGTGCTGTGGCGTCCCTGTGCCCTGGCATCCCCCTGCCCAGGTCCAGTGGGACTGGGGAGCTGAGTCCCCCCAGGAGAGAGGACCATGAGGTGCCCCAGATCCAGCAGGGAGAGGAGCTGGGTGGCTCATTAGGGCTGATGAAACCATCTTCTAAAGGTCTAAAGGCTTTAAAAGGCTGGCTGGGGGGCTGTGCTGGGGGGTCCCAGTGACTGCAGGTGGGAGGTGGGGAGGGGTCCCCAGCAGACTGACATCATGCAGCTGGATGGAGAGAAGCTGAGCTCTTGTGAACTCATTACATTGGTGGCCTAGAGCAGGGTCCCAGCATCCAGGCTGCAGTGGCATCCCCAGTGCAGCTGGTCATGGCAGTCACTTGTGTGTCTACACTTCCATGGAGAGGGACAAACTGTGACCAGGGTGGGTGTCCTTCACAGGAGGAGTAGGCCTCTGTGAACATGGTACAAGCTGCAGCTGTGCATTAATTAGCCAGGGCTTAGTCAGCTGGGTTACCCTAGTGAAGGGCACACCAGGATGGGGCAGGGTTCCACCACGTGTTGGTGATGCATGTGTTCACCATCCTGGCTGTGGTGCAGCATCAGTTGGCAGGGAAGCCATGGTCTTCAGGGTGGTACTGGCTCGTGATAAAGGGCTGTTCCATGATGAAGCACGATGAAGCATAGGTCCATGGCACCACACCTGCATCCCTCCTGGGTGCAGCATCAGTCTCTGGTGCCACATCCATCCCTGGTGCAGCATGAGTCCATGTCCAAAGGTTGGTTCTGGCTGCCACGCTCGTCCATGGTGCAGCATGAAGCATGAGTCGCTGGTACATCATCAGTCCACCATGCAGCATCAGTCCAGGGATGGTCCCCAACACCTCATGCTGTCTCTTCCCTCAGGTTTCAATGGGCTGGCAAGGAAGGCAGGGGAGAGCTCTGAGGCCGAAGGGGAGCCAACAGCCCTGCCCACGCCAGCAGAGCGGGAGGCAGAGGCTCGTTTCGTGAGCACGGCGCCCACGTTAAAGCTCCTCAACCACCACCCACTGCTGGAGGACCTGCTGCACGAAGCCTTCCTGAAGAAGGACTACCTGGGCCAGGCACCCTTCCTGCTCGGTGGCCCCGGCCCTGTCCTGCCTGCTGATGTCCTCCAGCCAG